AGCCTAAATAATTAGCTGGAGGTCCTAAGGCTATTGCCTGCAAGAACTTGCTTGGTTTAAAATGGGTGAACATTAACACATTTGAAGAGTGTTCCAAGCATTGGCGAGTCCTTGCGAAGGCGGGCTTATAAGCTGAGGAGTGAACATCCAGAAACAAGAAGCACCTGACCCAAAGTTCCGAGCCTCCTTAGGAGAAGCTACACTGAGGAGCGAACATCCAGAAACAAGAAGCAGCTGGACAAAGCTCTGAGCCTCCTTTCATTGCTCACTTTTTTTAGGCTGTGCTCACAGTGGAAGGAAAGAATGGGTTCTAAATTCCTGCTCTCTATGGAGGGGGCGGAAGGGGCACTGTTTCATCTTAAAGTGGGAGGCCAAGGAATGGGAATGCTGCTCAGAGGTAGAGTGCTTGCCTGGGATGTGTGAGGCTTGGTTCAGTCCTCAGCACTGTGATGAGTACAAGTTCAAATAAAGATGAGGAGAGACAAGACAGAAGAGCTGTGCGCGCGCGCGCGCGCACACACACACGCACACACACACAAGCACACACATGTGCGTACACATACAGAGTGTTTATAAAGAAGAAACCATGGTCTCTCTTGGTAAGTAGCTCCTCTCTTGCTCTCCATCCTCTTCTCTCCTCTCATGGTCCGGTTTAGTCTGCTGGCCGTGTTCAGCCTGGACTCTTCCCCCTGCCTGCTTTTCCCAATTATATCGACAATAAAAATCTCCTCCATCCTTAAGAGTCGTCAAAGTTCTCCCTCCTTTTATTTCGTTCACTTCATCCACCAGCAAGTTCTCCAGGTGATTAGAAGCAGCTGGAATTGACATGCTCAAGGCCCTGAAATGAATTTGAGCTCAAGGCAGGACGGGGAGAGCAAGGCGTACAACACGGGTCAGCCTGGGCCATCAGGCTCCCTGTTACTCTGGGACACTTTAGAACTGTGGGTTCCTGGGACACACTCCAGACTTACTGACCTGGAAAGTCTGCAAACGAGGCCCGGTTGTAACCTAACAACCCTTCAGGGGATTCTCTCTATGCCAAAGCTTTGAGAGACTCTGCTGGATGTCAGGGAGAGGGGAACTCATAGCAGTCCTCTCTCCCTCCTGGAACAAGGAAGAAATCACAGCACAAAGGGACAGATAGGGCTTGGGTCCCATGAGAAGGTGCCATTTTTACTGTGGCAATACTCGATGTAATTACCTGACGTGAGCGAGAACACGCAACAAACCTGTTCAGGAGTTAATTAGAGGAGGTGCGTACAGGCCTGGGGAATCAGTGTGCAGAGAGAGAGAGGAAGATAGCGTGTCCAGCTTTTTAAAAGCTGCCTAGCGCATGTGCACAGGGGCTTGGCGTGACTACGTATTACGCAGATGATGCAGATGATGGTCTCACTCATGCGTGCAAGGGTTTAGCTGAGTCATGTGTGGATGGAACCATGAATGTGCACACATGGGTCACGTGGGGGCCCTTTAACAGTCATGCAATGCCTGAGGGCCTGTGTAAACACGCATGGCTCTAGAACCCAGAAGTGCAGCCTTATTTGTGGCTGAATAATTAACACTCTATGCTTCCAGAACTCACACTGGGAAGTGGGAAAACCAATGCTCAGCCTCACACTGCTTTCCCCACTGTGATGTGACCTCCTGAATCTGCCTTTGTGTCAGAAAAAGTTCCAGAATAGTGCTCTTGGTTAAGAAGAAAGGGAGTAGAGGAAGGGGTCAGACAGAGATGTGAGCACCACAAACGACAATTACAAAACAAACCAAAGCAAAAAAAAAAAAAAAAAATCAGCTTTCATTTTACCTACCGATCTGTTGGGCCTTGCTGCCCCAGGAGTCAGAGAAGCAAAGCTCATGGAACACCTCAGTGCACACACCTTCCTTGAAACCATCTTTCTACCTTTTACCAAGAAGGCAGCATAGTAAGAAAGGGAAAGCGTAGATGCTACATCCAGGACACAAAGCCAGTATCCTTGACCATGGCTCGTCTTGGAATGTCAAAGTCCCACTTCGTCAGCTCGTGTGAACATATCGCTTGTTCCTGCTCTTCTTGTGCTCACGAGTAAACCCAGGGCCTCCCTCATGCTAAGTACATGCTCTGCCGCCGAGCTACACCCAAGCCCTGTCCACTCGCTCACCAGTGTGAGCATCGTCTAATATTTACAGAGTGGAGTTTCTTCAGTGCAAAGTAGTGAGGCCAATGGAAAGAATTCTTGTTCTAAGTTTCGAGCACCCACGGAGTGGAGTACCAGGGAGGAAAGTCTGTTCTTGCTCCACCTTGGACTCAGTGGAAACCACGCATCCCACCTCAGTCAAAAAGGCTAAGGCAAGAGTCTAGAAATCATTTCTCAGGTTGAGAAGCCAAGGGGAAAAAGTCATCTAGACTGGAACCTGGAAGACTGCATGCTTGCAGAACCACCCAGGTTTTGCGGTAGCTTCTTTGACACAGAAGGCAGAGGCATGCCCGTCTCAGGAAGGGTTTACAGCTGTGTTTACAAGTGAGCATCACTTGTAGAGCCCCGGTACTAGAGCCGAGGCCATTCCTCAGACCAATTAAGTAGGAACTCCTTGGGATGGGACCCGTGCATTGGTGCTTGTGATGTCTCATCCTCAAGGTCAATTTGACTACAGTAGGAATCACCCAGGTGACACATCTCTGGGTGTGTCCGGGAGGGAGTTTCTAGAGAGATCTAACTGAGCAGGGAAGACCCACTCAGAATGTGGTGACACTATTCTATGGGCTTGAATCCCAGATAGAATTTTTTAAAAAGGAAAGCTAACTGAGCACCCGTATTTGTCTCTTTTCCTTCCCCACTGTGAATACAAGTGACCATCTGCCTCATGCTCCCACCACCTAGCCCTCCTTGCCACGATGGACTGTACCCTCAAGACTGGGAGCCCACAGAAACTCTTCCTTCCTTAAGTTCCTTAAATTGCCTTTGTCATGCATTTTTGTGATGAGAAAAGAACAATTAAGCATTTTCCCTTTTAAAAAAAGAAATAATAATAATAATAATAAATCACAGGAGAACTTCACAGGTTCAAACCAGGCAACATCCCAGTAACTAACAAGGGATGAAGACAAAGTACCACTCCTCACCAAGAAGCTATTTGTAATGACACCTGCTGGAAAAGGGAAAATCCTTGTTCTCCAGTGGAGTGTCCCTGGGCACTAGCTTTGCATGCTTTTGTTTTGGTACTTTTTGTGTTATTGATTTTGTTTTGATTTTCATTTTTATTTTGAGAGAGAGAGAGAGGGGAGAGCGAGCGAGAACATGAAGTTGGGTGAGCGGAGAGAAGCAGAGGATCTGGGAAGTGTTGGGGAAAGAATATGATCAAAATATATTGCATGAAACACTTAAGTTGATCTTTTTTAATGAAAAAAAAAATTTCAGGTTACTGCAAAACCCATCCCTTGGAAAGCGAGACAGGGAAGAACTTTCTAGAGAGGGTTGAGGGTCTTGGCTGCTACTATGAAGGAACCTGGTGCTGTCTTCTGAAGGCCAAGTCCTGGATCCCCAGTGCAACTGTTTCCATTTTAGGAATTTGCTTTAGAAGTCAAAAGAAATGATTGCCTACTTTGCCATACGGATATTCAATTTTTCCTCTTTACTGGTATAATTATTATCAAATTGAAGATACGAGATAATCAGAACAATTGCTCCTTTCTCGTGTCTTGGCGGCTGTTAATAGATTTACATTTTACTGAACATTTTCGTTATTACATAATGGGCCTGGTGAAAATGTTATTATGAGTCGCTGCTGAAGGAAACGTGGGCATTTCCACGATACCAGGTGGGCAGTCTGGCTGCTGGCGGTAGGGTCTGGGTGTAGAGAATGGGGAAGGTTGTATTTACGTGATGTGCTGGAAAATGGAAAAGACCCTGTGATGTCACTTTTCTTAGCATCTGCTCTTGCCTTTCTACTCATCTGCGCATTAAGAGTTACTCTGGGCATCATAGAATTATTAAGATAGATTAAAGGTTATCAGAATTACTACCTGGAGGGTACTGCTACAGCGAGCAGGCAAATCCCCTAATCTCTCTGTGTGTCTGTTGGAGGCTGGAGAACAAACACCCTTGTGTATTGGTTTTTTTTTTTCCAGGTATTAATCACTTTTATTTTGGAGACTGCTTTTCATTGCCCTACAGAGTTTGTAGATCAGGCTGGCCTGGCTGGCCAGTGAGTCCTGGGTATCCCCCTGTCTCAGCTTCTCAGAGCTAAGATTACAAGTGTACAATACCATAATCATTTTTTTAAACATGGGTTCTGGGGACTTGCAAGGCAAGCACTTTACCTACTGAGTTATTTTCCCAGTCCTTCTAAGAGAGGTTAACCCGCATTCCTGTGGCAGAGAAAGGCAAGGTGGGAGCCACACAGGTCCTTACAGACTCACGAAGTTTCTAATTAGTATATGATAGCCAGGGCATCACTCGGGAGCTTACTGCATGGCACTGAGTCTCAGTCCCTATTCCAGACCCAGTGAGTCAGAAACTGCTTCCAAGTTCCCTAGCCATGGCCAGCACAGGGCACCAGAAAGCACCAAGTCAGCACATCGTGTTGCTTAGGACACAAAAGCCACCAAAGTCAGACTAAGGATTTCCAGGGAATCAAAGGCCAGCAACCCGATAAGAAGGCAATGCAAATTTGGAACCAAATTTCATGGTGAAAATAGGAAAGAACAAGTCACAGACGTCATAGGTAAGCTGCTCTTTAAAGTGGCGATGCCATTGTCATTGTATGTGCTTGGCCATAATTATAATTTATCAGCAATGAGAAGATATATTATAGGGGCTTTTGTCATTGCAACAGGTATGATACACACATAAACTTGTCACTACATATATGTGACGTTTGTCACCAAGGCTATAAAGGTGGGAGGGATAATGCATTATGGTCTAGATAGAGGCAGCGTTAAAAGAAATGATGCTTCCGGTTTCCTTTGATACCTCACCCTGCCCTCTCCCTAGGCAGTCCAGTTTGTTATGGTGCCCTCTTACCTCCTGGGGTTGTTGGTACTGAGAGGCCATGAGAAGGAAAGCCCGCTGGGCCTGGAAAGCACTGTGCACCATTTCCGCCTGCAAACAAAAGAAGGCAGCAGTTTCAGCGTTTGGGCTCTAGACAAATATCGAACAAATCCATCCACTCCACCTCAGCAGTGACTATAACCACGGAGCATGCAAACATATGTTCACACAAGACCTGTAAATGCATAATCACACCTTCATTATTCATAATAGCTAAGACGTGGGAACAACCAAGTGTCCGTCAACTCATAAACAGATTTAAAAAAGAATGACTTAGCCACGAGATGGTGTAGTATTATGTAGCTGTTAAAACAAAGTGCTGTCACAGGCGGTGACACAGACAAGGCTTCAAAACATTATGCTGAGTGACTGGAGCCAGTCACAAAAGAGTGTGCCTGTGTGATCTCATTTACAAGAAATGTCCAGAATAGGCAGCTCTATAGAGATAGTAGGATAATGGGTGGCAGGGGAGGAGGACTGGAGAGGAAACTGCTGACAGACCACGGATAACTTCTTTTGTGGTTGGCGAAAATGTTCTGCCGTTAAGGCTGGGCTGATGACTCAGTGGGTCAAGTGTGCCGCGCAGGCAGGAGGACCAGGGTCAAGCTCGCAGAACATTTGCGAAAAGGCCAGGCATGGTGGTGCTCACTTGAAATCCCAGACATGGGGAGGCAGAGATGGGCAGATCTCTGAGGCTCACCAGCCGGCTTAGCCTATTTGGTGAGCTCTAGGCTGGTGAGATCTTGTCTCAAAAAGCAAGATGAAGGGCTCCTGGGAAACTATACCTGAAGTTTGACCTCTGGTCTCCATCGGTACCCTCATCCATATAAATATCCAGCCAATTGCATCTTCCTGTCTTCCTCTTTCTTGCACCCCCCCACATGCATGCACGTACACACACATGCAAGGATGGGGGTTGTTCCCCAATTAGACAGAGTTGATGAACTTCGCATCTTCCTGTCTATATTAAAAACCTCAGAATCATACTCTCTGTAAGTGTGGCTATTAGGATATATGACTTGTATCTCATGGCTGGGCATGGGAATATATACTTTAAACCCCAGTACTTAGAAGCAGAGGTAGGTAGATCTCTATGGGTTTGAGGCCAACCTGTTCTACATAGAAATTAAGTTTCAGGTCACCCGGGGCTACACAGTTAAAAAAAAAGATTCAGCCATCAAAGTTTTCAAAACAAGTCTCACTGGGACCTGATCATCTGGCTCCACCCATACCTCCACTCTTAACACACAGGACTTGTATAGGTGGGATTGTCCTGGAATACATAGTCATTTTTTTCTTATCTTCTGTTCATAATTAAATAGTTCTAATTAAGTATAGTAAGAAAAATAATTTTAAATATCTATCGTCTACAATTAACCTTAGCTAGCAACTGAGCGTATTATGTCTATGTTTTAAGAACAGCCGTATCACTGTTTTAGTAAATGAAAGCAACTAACGTGTGGTGTTATATGTGTATGCGGTGTGTGTGGGGGTGTATGCATGTGTACATATTTGTGTGTAAAGGCTCAAGATGAATGTGGGGTGTCTTCCTCTATTGCTCTTTAATTTTTGAGTAACTGAACCTGAGACTCATCTATTGAGACAGGCTGGCTGACCAATAATCTTCAAGGATTTGTCTCTCAGCTTCTAACCTGTGCCCCTCCTCCAACAGGGCTAGGGATGCAGGTGTAGCTGCTATGTGCAGCTTTTCAACTAGGTGCTGGGGATGGAAACCCAGGCCCTCAGTTTGCATGGTAGGCACATTATTGACTGAACGACTGCCCCTGCCTCGGATCATTTTTTTCTTCTTTTATTTTAAGTCAAGATGTTTCGGAGATTGAAGTTTTAACAAAAATACCAGACAACCTTTACCACCTGGGCTGTCTTCACAGCCCTGCTCCAATGAGAGCATTGCTTTGGAACAAAGCCCAGCTGAGTGATTTTCTTCCCTGAAGGAAACTTGCTTATTCTGGTTGGAAGAATAACTTCTTCACCGTTGGGGTTTAAGAGCCTAACTGAGACATGCTTGCATTTTGAACCTCCTCTATTATAGTTCTTAGGGTATATCTGCCTCCTTTTCCTTTTCCAGAAGTTTCGTTTTAACACGTTTCAAGTCTTCTCTTCCATTTGTGAGATTCTGCATCCAAGGACTCTGACAAGGATATCCTATTATCCTCGGGATAGCAGGATAATCCTGGAGTGTCTTTGTGTCTTCTGGATTCTCTCTTTTATTTCCTGGGCTGTGATTTGAGCTCACTGGGATCATACGAACAGTGTCCCCCCCACCCCCGCCACCGCCTCAGGCCCCCCCACTGACAATAGATACAGTTTCAACAAGTCTTATATACTTATTGTTTCTTCGTTAGTTTTTTTGTTTGTTTGTTTTTTTTGACAGGGTTTCTCTGTGTGTCCCTGACTGTCCTGGAACTCACTCTGTAGCCCAGGCTAGCCTCGAACTCATAGATCCACCTGCCACTGTCTCCCCAGTTCTGGTATTAAAGGCATGTATTACCATGTCTGACATTTATTTAAAACTACTGTTTTTAACATGCATATCATTTCTTCACTCTCTGCCTTTTATTTCCTTCTCATGGCTTCATCACCCAGTTTTAAAAGGCTCTCAAAAACTGATTTGCTATCCCTGTCGATGTCTTAGAGTGTGTTATACTTTGACCAAGTCACCATGGGACCTTGTTTCTGTGTCCTAGTTAGTTTCCTTCAAGGGCGCTAAAGTTTGGATCAGGACTGTCTCGCCCATTGCATGTGTGAAGGGCTGGCTCCCTAGTTTGGAGGGATGCTGCATAAATGGTGGGGCTCAACAGGAGGCTTTTAGGTTATGGGTGTCCTCGAAGAGGATTCTGGTACCTCAACCTCTTACAGCTCTGATTCTACCAGGCATTCTGCTTAATTTGTTAGACATTCCATTACAGTAATGGAAATTAACACAAAACATGAGCCTGTGCCCTTCTACTTTGCCTGCTGGGCCACCATGCTGGTTCTTTTGATCTTGCTCATTATTTTGTGTGTGCACTGATACTTAAAACCTTCTCCTAAAACATGGGTCTCTTGCAGCCATATTGGAGATCAGTGTGTTTTCCTCTCTAAAGCAGCGGTTTGAAAGCAGAATCTTTATGATCTACCTCTTTTTTTCCCTGGGGCCTGGTGTACTATGGCTTAGAAGCAAATATCTCTCATACGAGCATGTGTGTGAACATACAAAGGCTGGTGGGGCTGTTTGGTGGAGGTGGGGATTAGCTAGAAAAAGTGGGTCTTTGTAAAATGGGCCCGAGGTTGTCAGCTTACTGTATCTTGGCTTCCTCGTAGGCCTGCTATCACTGCTGTGAGCTGCTCCTGTTGGTACAGTTTCCCCACCACGACGGGCTACATCCCCAAATGCCTGGCTGAAACAAGTCCTTCTTTCTTAGCCACTTCTTGCCAGACATTTGGTCACAGTCAAGAGAAAAATAACGGATGAATGATGGCAAGGAGCCCCAGAGGGAGATGCTCAGGGGAGGTGGTGTCTAGTTGTTAGAGGTTTGGGGTGTCTCTCATCCTGGGGATTTGGTCCATAGCCTAGACCGAGACTCACTCCCATCTACCTGGGACGTACGCCATTCGGATGGTGTAGTGCCCTCGGTTTTAGGTAATTTCTCCAGAGCAGAACCCAGACAGAGAGCTTATACATCCACAGAGAGAGACAGCCTATGGTTTTTCTCTTCTCCCGTTTCATATCCTTCTTCTGATTCTGTCATTTCCTCTAAGGCAAGTCTCTATGGGTTGGGAAGCGTTCATCTGCCAGTTCCCGACACTGTTCTAGATGATGGACTTTTTGCTTTGATTATTAGAGAGGACTTTTTATCAACAGGGTCTCAGGCTGCAGCAGCATAGTTTGGAACTCACTGTAGCCCAGGCTAGCCTGAAACCCGCAGCATTCCCCTCCCAAGGGTTGGGATGACAGGCACGCAGCCCCACGCCTGACCTTGGATTTTGTTTTTTAGAGTAATTTTGTATTTGCAGTGAGATTGAATTCAGAGTAGAATTCCCACGTGCTACCCACCCCAACCCCTACGTACACATAGTCTCTCCCACTTGCGAGAGAGCTCCCTCTCATCTGCAAGATTCCCCCCCCCCCCATTCCTTTTGGCTTTTCTGTTCATTTGTGGAATTAGAAAAACACTTTGCCTGAAGGAAACCTCCCTGAAAAGAGTGGTTTTGAGTTATACTAATGCTAATATTCTTTTCGTTTGCCAATTTCTTCTTTAAGCCGCTCCTGTTAGTTTCCTGTCTGTTCACAGCAGTTTCTATCTCTGCTGGATTGGATTTGACTTCCTGGTAGAAAAGGCGGGAATCGATTTCATACATTTTCAAGATACACTGCTAGCAAAGCGATGGGAAGATTAAGTTAATTTCATTCCAATGACAACATTTGGCTCTTTTTTAAGCTAGGAGGGCAAATATATTAACCAGACTGGCAATGGCAAATCTCTGTTATCCTAGCCATGATTCTGACGTCTCACGATTTTTACAAACCCTCAGGTGTTTTTTTTTTTTTTTAAATTTTTACCATAATTCTCATCTAAGGATTTTCTTCCGCCAAGAAAATGTTTGTGTTCAAATCAAAATTGATAGGCCACTTATTTCAAAAAACACAAATCCAACCCTTCATTAACTTAACAGACCAAGGCTTGTAAATGTTTTCTGTAAAAAGTCATTTTGAAGTTCCCCGCTGTCCCTTCTCTTTGTCTTAGTCATCTCGTGGCTGAGGCTAAGTTGCTTGAGAATCTCCTGTATCAGATCTCTCTCAGCAAAGAGCAGAGCATGAAAAATCTCACCGGCCTGGAAGCCATCATGACTCACAAATACGAAACTTTGAGCTGAGATGCCCTTCCATCAAAACATGTTTTCAGGCCTTCGAAAAGACGCCTGCGGCTGTCTAATGACCACGCTTCTTAAAAGGACTACCAAATGCAACTTTCCACAGCTCAGCTACAAATAAAATACCTGCACTTCTCTCTTGGCAACGGTAACGCAGAGGTACCATCCCCATCCGT